CTCCCCGTCTTCCTTCTGAGGTTCTCGGAATCCCCCGCATTTGCCTTCAGATGTTGCTCTACGGGCGACGCGTGTTGTCTTTAAACCCGCAATTTTATTCGTGATATATTCGTGACTTGCTCGTCTCATTCCGATTCAATGTCTCACCTGGCCTGAAGAGGCCCCCGTAAGCGCTAGACCTCGCTGAGTCCATAGTCCCAGGCTCCAGATCAATCAACAACGCACGCGGCACATAGCGTCCACTGTTGGCTTCGCGGTAGTACACGTCGATGCGTTCAAGCTGAGTGGCGGATTCTCCTTTATAGGAACCATCGGGTTGGATGCCGTGCTCCGCTGAGATGACCTCCCAAAACTTGCAGCCGATTTGATTGCCGCACTGCCCGGCTTGAATGTGAAGGATCTCGCGCATACTTCAATTAGATTTCAAGCGACACTGTTACAAGTATTGTGTAAAGTATGTCTCTGAATGACGCTTGTGCCCTCAAATGTAATATAAATTGCGCGGACAAGCGTGGTAGGAACAAGGGGGTTGGAGACTTAAGGAGAGCGCCGACGTCTCGGGGATGGTAACGGTCGCGTGACGGTGTAACGGTTCCTGATGGAGGAATTTGAGGACTTGTCTATCTTTTAATAGGCTATTATCTGTCAAAGCGTGGTCATTAATGCTTAATTAATATTTTTATTGGTCACAATATTAATTTAGTCTCGACTCTTCTCCGTTGCATCAGAAACTCTCCTGCTTTCGTGATATTTTAATCGAAAATATTCTGGCAAATCAGGGCGCTTTGAACCATTTGTACACATATGTTATACTATCGGCGTCTCCAAGTTTTCTGACCGCATGCATTGTTGTAGAGATCGCACAAATTATATTGAGCTCACCTCCGTCTCTTTTCCTTTTCAAAGCGAGCCATCATACCTGAGGCAGTCATCTACAAAATTGATTCGTGATAAAGATATCAAGGTCAAATCATTATACTTTAGAAATAATCCAAAAGCAATGAAATGTCAAATAAATAGATGAAAATGCATCCTTTATTTCTTTTGCATTCAACACTGACTTTTCATCACCGCTGTACATTTCGTGACCTAGATGGTTTTGTTACCGAGATGTGACATATCTGCCCTTCAACCTGGTCACCCGTTTTTGTCAGTCACGTCCTGTGTATCAAATGCCTGTAGAAACGATGCTACCTGGTAGGTGGAGAAGCCCACAAGAGCTGGTATTACTTGTACGAAATCACGGTACTTCCCCGCAATCAACACCAGCAAAATGACCATAGCGAACCGAGCTTGGCCCACCCCTGCTCCTGGCCCGGCAGTGCCCATCGCTTCCACCGTGCGCCCTAACAAAGTGATGTACCCGAAGCCCAACACAGCCCCCAAACCATACGACACGGAAGTCTGCAGGGAGAAAGCGGCCCAGCACAGTGCCAGTCCTATTGCTGAGAGCCAAATGCTGTCAAAGAGGAGCTGAAATTTGCGCACTGCGTACGGTTTCCCTCGGGAGATGGCTTCTTTCTTCCGCGCCTCTTCATCCGCGAACGCACGCTTGGACATGCGCGTCATTTTTTTGGGGATCCCGATCTCGCTTATGTTCACCTCTCCCCCCACTTGACTGTAGGCTTCATAGATGGCCCTGCGAGTCGACTGTCGGAGGGCCCGTTTGGCCGCGTCGGCCTTCTCCCGTTCTTCGTCGCTGGCCAACAAGATTTCCTCCGCAATCTCGTTCTGCATCGCTAGGATTCGCTGGCGGCGTAAGGCTTCTGCGTCCCGATTGGAGGAGGAAGGAGGTGGTGGAGGGGAAGAAGGACTGGTAGAGTCGGTGGCACGAAGGGAAGGGAGACGGCTGAAGTGTTTCCACGCTTGAAAGCGTTGTGGGGATGCAACGGCTAAGGTCGATGAGGAGCATGCTATGGATTGGTGGTCGCGTCTTGGGGGCACGTGCTGATGCTGCTGATGCCCCTGACCGCGACACAATCCAAAAGCAATCGCCGAGGGACATGGGTGTGTAAAAATGGCCTGCGGGCACGAACACAGCATTAGCGACTCGCAATTTGTTGAGGAGCATGCGTGAGCGTTCAAGTTTTGAATCAACCTCCGACTAACAGGGTTGTGCTTGTACACACACCGCTAAATCATCGCCATCAGATGGTTCCGACCATCGTGAACTACGTGGGATTCCGCTCGGCAGTCAAGACAGAAAACAACGAGAGAATCGCAAAGGGAAATGATGCCTCTATCCTCTTTATACGATCCACATTCAATGACTACGAAGCACGCTACCTAAAAGCCTTTCCCTCTAAGGCACCTTACCTTGGTGGTGGGAGGGAACATGTTGAAGAAGCACAGCAACGTCGCTGTCACGGCCTGGCCCCTCCATCTCAAGCTGTCACGGCATAAGTATATCCTATGCTTTTCTTTCCTCGTCATCATCAATCACTGTTGGGTTTTGTATTTGTAAATATGGAAGGGAAAGGCATGGTTAATAGGATACTTCGCGAAGCGAGATATGTAGCAGGGGGCAGCATGCGAGGCATGCGCAATTACTACGGACAATTCATGTTGATGAACGATATATAACACTCAAGATTTCATGGCATATTTGTGTACCACGCGCGAACTATGCGCTTTGCGGGGTTGAAGGATGTTGATGCGGGTTATAAAAATCAAGTAAAAGCCTCTTTCTTATCCTGTAGGACGTGGAGAAAAACAAAACCGCTTCATTTATTTACGGACTCCGACATCTACCACTTCTAAGAACGCTTGACGCGCGACGTACAAGTCGTCCAAGCCGTCATATTCGAGTGTGTTTGGTTTTCTTCATGCCTTATGACATGAGCAGCCTGCTCTGTCTGTCTCATCGCGGATGTGCGGCGATCAGCCAACTTTGACGTGAACGAAAAGAATTGAGGCACCGAGGCATCGATGTGCCGTAAAAAGTCGCAAACGACACCAACAGCAAAAATATGACACCAACTGTGGCATACTATGTGCATGCACCGCTAGAAGACGCATGTAGTCGTGAAAAAGCGCCAGGGGGGGCCGTAGCGCCATCTGTGCGTCCATCACTGCTAGGAAGTATGCGTTCCTCCTCCGTCCTATATCGACTTGTCCATCTCAATGTCTGTTGTGCCGTCTTTTCAGTGATGAGGTATCGTGTATGCCTTTTTTACTCCCTCACCCTAACATTCGGCGTGAGTCTGGTTGATTGCGGTTCCTGGTGTAAAGCTTTAATGACCTCTTTTAACCTCCCTCCCATTCCTCCAGGCACGAATATTTCCTGTCGTAGTCACTTGCGTTGCTCCTTACACCTCGATATTTTGTCACAACTTTTCTACAGAATGAAAAGGAAGATGGACATGGAAATCACCACTGTTGCCAAGCCGAGCAATGATTACACAGCCACCAGCATGCACGTGGGCAGCGAAGCTGTCGGGGAGACTGCTGCCGGTAACACTCAGAGGGAAGGAAGTAGCCTCCCGACGATGCCCATCATTGATCCCTCTTCCGGACAAGCAACGCACGCAAAGTGTGAATCAATGTCGCAATGTAGGATGGGCGACAAGAATGAAAGCCGGCAGGCGGAGGGTGAAAGGGCGAGGGAGAGCGAGGAGGGTGCCTGCGATGACGGCATGACCGACATGGACAACCTCTTGCTCCGTCCCAGTCCTTTCGCGGCGGACTCAGGCTCGTTGGCTTTGGGGGAATTCGAGGCCGGGGCGGATCTGAAGGAGATGCTTGCTGAGGTGAGGCCTAAAGGGAGGCTTCGAGGCATACATTGAAGTGCCCCCGAGGGGGGCCCGGGGGAAAGTGATATCAGTATAAATGCGGCCCTTTAGTCACACAATTGTGAGAAAAATGGTATTGCTGTTGACCGCCCCAGGCGTCCTGGTTCAGATTTTTCCTTCCTCCCTCCCCTTCCTCCCTCCCTTCCTCCCTCCCTCCCTTCCTCTCACCCTCCCCTTTCCTCCTCACTTCATACCACCTTAGGCGCGCGTGCTTGTCGTGGGGGCTGGAGGGCTGGGGTGTGAGATATTGAAGAATTTGGCCTTGTCCGGAGTGAAGGATATAGACCTCATCGACCTGGACACGGTCGAGCTCTCCAATTTGAACCGGCAGTTTCTTTTCCGGGAAAAAGGTACCCGGATCTACCTTGTTAAGAGGCTGTCCCCCGAGGGCATCACGTGGTTCCTGGCCTCTCTTCTTCCCATGCTCATCACCTCGTTTGTCTTTATTCAATCTCCCGACCCCTCGGTCACCCGCAGACATAGGTCAACCCAAAGCTGTGGTAGCGGCCAAGTTCATCATGGAACGAGTCCCGGGGGTCAGGGTGCGCCCGCATCATGGAAAAATTCAGGACAAGGACGCAGCATTCTACAAGGTACAGCCCTCCCTCCCTCCCTCCTTCCCTTCCTGCTTCCCTCCCTCC